AGAGAGAGAGAGAGAGAGAGAGAGAGAGAGAGAGAAAGGGAAAGAGAAAAGGAGAAGAGAACACCGAATAGTACGAAAAGATCTACCATAGCCTCAATTTCTTCTGCCGACATCTTCTTGTTGGGCCTGGTGTATGCTCTCTCTTTCGGCACTGGCACCGTGTTGAGTCGCTGGACCGTCTGGTCAATCTCGTAGTCCGTCATCTTTTGGTAGCCCAGCCCGAACTCCGGCTTGAGGATTGTGCCCCATGGCTGTTTGGAGCTTTCTGGTCGCACGGAGGAGCGAATTGTCGTCATGGTGCTGGGTGGCTGGGGCCTCTTGTAAGGGTTACCTTAAAAAAGCAACAACTTTTTAAACCAACGCTGTTGACGGGTTACTTGATCCCTGTCTTTGCGGAGGTCAGATCAGGATCCGGGCTTGAATCTGAAAAGAATAGATGATGAACGGTGGTAAAGTAGGGGTTTTCATTAATGAATAATAAGTGATCACTATGAAACCCCATGGCATATTGGCATAGTGTATTTGAAAGCCCCGCCCTCTCTCCTTTTCCAATATTTTTGTTGTTGTAACGACGTGAAAGATTCCGAATCTTATACATTAGTTGGTAGCGTACATAGGACATGTACAACATGCCCGGCTATTGAGAAAAGACCAAGGAACTTGCCGGGCATGTATGTTTTGCATTGCGTCGTATCAATCAATGTCTGTACACTGTTTCACTTAAAGCTACCCCAGCAACGATGACATTAGACTGGACCACAGTGTCTTTCATCTCAAGGACTTTGAGCGCTCAGACGTCCATCGTGGCTGATTTGTTGGCGTATGAAGCATATTTATGTTGCTCTGAGCTTGTTTGCTTCGTGTAGATCTACTGCGGTTGAATGACCGAGGGGTCATTCTTGCGAACATGAAACGAAATGACACGTCTAAATCTACTTTGGCGTGGGTTTGTGTTTATGGGCACAGCGCACCTCGGCTCAATTCGGTTGATCCAAAGCCGCAGAAAGATTGATCCCGTCCAGTTCGGTCTCGCTCCAGTTTGACCTCATTGTCAACTTTCTCTCTCTCTCTCTCTCT